ATAAAATTATAAAATATAATAATATACAATAACTGGTTTTGCCATAATGTTACATAGCTTGTCCATCATGTCGTGCCTTGTGCGACGTTCGTATTTCGTACTGCGTAGTGCGTACAGCRTAAGCAGCGCTCGACACCGGTACGCGGCGATCGGCGTAACCAAAAACCGTTAAAAAAAATAACCGYCCGATACCAACACTGGCCAYACACCATCGACCAAGCMGACGTTTTTACATTTTCGTATTTCGTTTTTCGCATATTATTTTACATTCGTATTTTGTACATCGCCGTTCGCCGGGTCAATGGTTATTGGATTTCTGTTGTTTTGATCGTTTTTTGGATGCGCAAACGTCGTTTGACAAATTATTATTTAAACGACAACTGCACACGCTTAAACGGTAATAAAAATAAAACCGGTTAACTTACCACTACCACCGATGCCAAACGGTTTTGTTCTGCCGACGTCGAGAAAATAGAAAGCATGTCGTCCATCATGTTCGAATCGCCGTCGTTGAAAGACAAGTAAGTACATAACAAAATATATGCCCACCTAAATATGTGTGCTTCGTCGGGACGCAAAAGTCGTGATTCACGATTTGTATCGCAGCATCTCTTTAGCAGCAAAATATTACGGTAATTGACACCTAAAATGTCGGCATATTTATTTTTTCTATCGATTATATTTATTGGGCTGACGTTTATTAATAACTACTGTTTGGTATTTACCCAGCGGCCTGCGCTTTTCGTTTTAAACTTTGATCCTCAAACTTATCTCTTACGATTATAGGTAGATACTCAAAACTAAATACTCTGAACAGTAATAAGTTATAAYATGAATCATATTATACCCATTCTTAATTGGATGACTACTAAAATATAAAATTTTATCATATTCTATAGAAATTTATTAAGCGTTATGTCATAAATATCCAAATTTATTGAGTTTTTGGTATTACATTTTTATCAAATACCTAGTTAGTAGTTACCAGTAGCATTTGTCCAGTGTTATATGTATAATGTATTATATATATTCAACTCCTTCAATATTATCAAAATCTATTCATGCGAAACCCAGTATGAGGTAAATTTAGTAAGTACTTCATGTAAACTTTAAAGTAATGAATGGCAATACTAAAGAAAGAGAGCACCATATACCCTATATCAATCCGATCTTAGAGATAATAAACCTATTTTTAAAATATTTTATTACAGGTAATGGCTACATCTACTCTAAATAAGTAAATTAAATACTTATAAGTATAGTGACTTAAATTATATAACTACAGTTAGTTTCTTATGAAAAAATTAATTTTGTCTAAGAAATGTGTATAATATTAATCCTTGATACTGATAAGTTTTACCGTATTATTCGAGGTATTTTAATAAATGTATTGATCAGGTAATCATTTCGATTGCTTCAATTATTTTGAACTGGTTATCTTTCCTCCCTCCATGCAATGACTTTAATTAAAACAAAACTCTTTAAATTGTATCATATTTACTGATGAACAATTTTTTGAACTGCAAATTACCATCTTTGTTGTATATATATATATATGTCATGGTTTGGACAGTATTTATTGATGATTAACCTTTACTTATGTATTCATTGTTTCAGCTCAAGTTTTTTACAAAGAATGGATTCTTCAATGAAGTGAGTTATATGAAATACCTAATTGGTATAAGCTTATTTATTCTTATTAAAAAAAAAAAAAAATCTAGTCTAAATAAAGGTACCTAATATTCTACATAAACTTATTGAGTTAATAAAAATAAAATAATGTGTTAAATTAGGTAGGTACCTACGTGCATTTATATTTCTGATTAAAACAAACAATACAATAGTAGAAATTAAATTTACAAGTTAATTGTAAATATCTAGGCTATATTTTATCTCAAAAGTAGCCCTTAATTAATATTATTGCAGCTTTGAGAGTTGTTAATATAAATAATAATATTATATTTTTGTTAATTATAAGAGGGTTACTATTGGTTACAAAATTTAGTGTAGATAATTAAGTAGTTGTCAATTAGTTATTAGATGCTCACTGATTTTAAGAATTGTTAACATATAGGTACAAAGCTAAAAAATATAGGTACATGACAAAAAATAATTTTTATGATTGAACATAATTTTAGACTTGTATCTACTATCTCATATGAATAAAAAATTTAAATGGATATTAAGATAGGGTAAACTCATGTGATGTCTTGAACATCACTACACCTAGCATTAAATGACGAATTACATTTTTGAATCATAGGTATAATTTTTAGCGGGTAACCTAAGTATACAAGATCAGCTAGTGTTAAAATAAAACTCCAAAAATAGCAGAAATAACATTTACAATTAAGTGTAAAAATCTAATTCTAGTAACAATTTAGATGGATCAATAATTATGGTACTTGGGTACCTACATAATTCCCAAAATAATAATAACTTATAAAACCTTTAACATTAAAACTAAATAAAAATGTTATTATTTCTTTTCTTCAAATTGTTAAGGTAACATTTCTTAAAACTCATAATTATCACCAAAGTATAAAAATTGTGTTTGATCTATAGTCCAGATACAGATAAAATACAACTTATATTGGATGAAATTTGTGCACATTCAAAAAAAGAAATCCTTAAAGTTCAACGTAATCTAGATGTTATCTATGGACCTTATTCAGATGAAAAGAAAAATGGCATAAACCAACTTCATGAACATTTGAAAGCTCATGTAACTGTAAGTATTAAATTAAGTATTATCAATGGAATTAAATTAAATTTCTTTTGTTTCATTTTTCAGTCATTTTTGGATGAAGTTGTATTAGAATCTGACAGAGACAAAAATAATATTATAAAAGATATTGAGGAACTGTTGGTTGAAAAGGAACTCTTAGAAAAGGTAAGTTGTATGAACTGTGTTCTTCGAAAAAATCTGGTGTCCTTTTGTGTTGAAGGTAGTCTTATATGTGTTAATAAATTGACTATTTATTTAGGAACTACAAATGCATATTTCAATTGATGACCATAATGATGCTACTCCATTGATTGATGTTCAAATTAATATCGATAAATCTCTACAAGAATGTAGAAAAATTAAAGAACAACGCATGACAGAACTTAATAAACTTCAAGAAGAAGTAATTTTAACTTTCTACTTTCTACACCCTTACTTTATATTTGTAATATATATATATTTGTTTACTTTTATTAGGAAAAACAAATTTGTCAATTACTGAACGAAAAGCCTAAATACTCTGGCATTAAAGAAATGCCTTCTGCAACATTACTGGAAAATATCAAAAGTCATATTATAGATTTAAAAAATACTCAAGTACTGTTATTATTATTTTATTTTTTTGATGTGTTATCAAAATGTATTGTATGATTTACTTGATATTTAGATTAAACGTCGGACTACATTTTTRGAAAATAAAACTAAAGTTGAATCGTTACTGGCAGATCTAGGAGAAATACCAATTTTACAGTTTGATAAAATGGTGTTGGGAGATACAGACCAGTTTCAATTGTCAAAATCTAACTTGGATGAACTTCAAGTAATACTAACATTTTAGTTATATGAAGATTTACTTACCATTTTTATGCATTATAAACAGAAATTAATAAAACGCTTGGAAAATCAAACAGAAAATCAAAAATGTATGGCTATGGAATTAAGAACTAAATTAAATTCATTGTGGGATCGCTTACAAATTGATGTTTCTTATAGAGAACATTTTGTGAGTACCAAAAAGGGATTTGGCAAAACAGTTATACAAGAGGTACGTTTATAAAGTTTTTACTGATTTATATTAATTTTTTATTACAACTACATTTAATGTCATTATATTTATTTTTTAGCTAAAATTAGAAGTTGAAAGATGTGAGACCTTAAAAAAGGAAAATATCAAACAATTCATCGAAAAGTTACGTAGTGAATTAAATGATTTGTGGGATAGATGTCATTTTGGTGAGCGTCAAAGAAAACAGTGTCATGTGTATTATAATACTGAGTATAATGAGGATGTAATGGACTTATTAGACATTGAAGTTGACAATGTTAAAAAATTCTATAATGATAATATGTAAGAGTATATAAAAATTATATCGAAGAATTTCCATTAATAAATATGAATAATTCAACAAAGAGTTTAATGAATTTAATTTTTTTTTTTTTTTAAGTTCAATTTATCATTTATTTGAAGAAAGAGAACATTTATGGAATAAAATGATTATGATGCAAGAACAAGCTAATGATCCAGCAAGACTTTGGCAAAATAGAGGTGGCCAGTTATTAAAAGAAGAAAAGGAAAGAAAAATTATACAAAAAGTAAATTTTATTTAATTAACATATGTTTTGTCTACTAATAGATAATAACTGGAATTTTTTTATTAATTTGAAARAAGCTTTTTAAGACTAATTTAATAAAATATCATATAGGAGCTACCAAAAGTAGAAAGAGAACTAAAGAATCAATTACTAGCATATGAAGAAAGAGAAAATAAGGTATTCTATTACAGAGATGAAAGATTATATGATTTTATTGAAAGACAGTGGGATGAATTAAAAAGCAATAAAAAAATGTTACAACAAACAAAGGTATCTATATTATAATGGTTATATGTGAGTATGTGAATAATACAATAATCATACAATTTTTTTAGTCTAAGATACAAACTGGAACAAAACCTCAAACACCACTAACAGCTACTCGCAGTAAAAGGAAGATAGTCGGTACATCAAGCAACCAAGCTTCTAAGGTCCGTAAAATCGGCATGGACCATAAAGCTGTGGTAACAAAATAATGCTCAAACAATTAATTGTATATAGAAATGTTTTATTCAAATTCATTCTTTTTGAATTAAAACTTAAATTTTATTTTTATTCACCTTGATTATATAACTATCTATAACGACTTTAAAGACAATTATATCATTCTTTAATATATAGTTAGGCCTCGTTTATCAGACTTATCTATTTATCTGACTATAATAATATAATTACGGGCGTCTATTAATGTTAGTTTTTATTTTTTAAATATAAAGTGCGGTGAATCATAAAATTATTTATTAATTATATCTTGATAATTTCAAACATGTTATATACTGAGTCGCATAATTGTCTTAGCTATGTCAAATAAACGAGGTTCTACCTAGTGTAAGTACAATTAATTGTTTTATACTACTCATTTATATTAATACTAAATGTTATTTGTTTATTTTGTTTTTTAGAATACCCCTAGAAGACAATTGTTTAATTTTCATAATACTAATGTAGCCACATTAGTACCATTAAACTCAACTAAACTAAATGAGGTAAATCTAACTACAACAAGACAGCATCCAATCTTCCATGGGTCCAATGATGAAAATGTATCAGTTGAATCTTATGCAACCTTCCAGGTTTGAATTACGTGAGATAATGCGTTCCACACGTAATTACTTCTATGTGTGTGAATATAATTTCTATCGCTTTGTTTCGTATCAGCAAAAACTATAAAATAATAAGTTTTAAAAACATTTGATTAACCTTTAATGTACTTTAATTTTTATTATATTTAAATTTTCTTTGAAGGATTGATAAAACTGTTTTTTATAAGTGATAAAATATTTTAATTTTAATTGATTAACCAATAATTTGGTCATAACTAGTGCAAACATTGATATAACCTAAGAAAATGAGTTCATCAACTACTACTATAGTACTACTAGTCAAATGATCTAAAAATTAACATGTGAATATAATTTATTTTTAAATCTACAATCCAAATTTTACATATTTTGCTAATTACAAATTAACAACAGTGAAATACTAATTATTTTTGTAATTTTTTTATTTAAATGTTAAATTAATATAAAAATATAATGTAATGTTTATATAAAATAAATTTGTATGCTTATTATGTTGTTATTATTTTTTTATGAACAATTTTGTAAAAAATTGATTCATTATGCTTTTAAAATTGGCTTTGTACCATATCATTTATTGTATGTAAATTTTACATTAAATAATTATAAAATTAACAATTCTCGGCCGTTTGACTTAAATTGCATGTTATTTAAAAATGAGTTGAATCCCATAGTTATCTATATCAAGATTGCTTTCTATGCTTTATAAATAATGATCTTAACTATATGAATACTAATTTTTTTTAAATATTTTAGGAACATCTTGAATCCAAAAAACATAGGTTGTTTACAAGTCCAACTACTAAAAATGTATTGAGAGAACCAAACACAACATTTACTACACCGAAAAAACCATTAATGAAGACTCCCGTTAAAGGATCTCAAATTCCAATACCAACCACTCCTAAGACGCCATTACGTACAACACCAAGAATGACGCCCAATACACGCACAGTTACCAAACTAACACGAACTATAAACAACAAACTTCCCATCATTTTTTAACCATGTTTTGTAAACTTTTTAATCAATTAACTGTTTAATTTTTTTTTTCAATTTATCTTCTTGTATGTATAATTTGTTACTTAAATTTATATTGTGTCAGTATTATATGTAAGAAATTTTTAGATACACATTTGTGAATATAAACAAATTAGTTTTTAAATTTGTATTACAATTTTAATATATGGTATTTATACTATATTTCAATAAATAACACAATTTGTTTGTTGAATTAATATTTTTATTATAAAATATGTATAATCAAAAAGCTATTCATTTAATTTCAATTTCTTTGATTGTTTGAAAAGAGATAAATTGTGTTTCTGCACGATTGTATATATTAATTAATGTGCGAAAGATATTTATTTTTATACTGAAGAACATAATATACACATACTGTAGTATTTTAATTTTAATTATAATATTTTGTTTTTATCTTCAAATATTTACATTAAGCATATTATTAAGAACATAGTATACTATTGTTAATATTAAAATTATAATTAACCAGATTATAGGTAAATGTTAACACATGAAATTTAATTATTAAATATAAACACATTTACAAGTTAATAACATTCTTATAAGTAATAATAAATTTGTAGCTAAATATTTAAAAAAAAAAAATGGTGATCCTTATATTAAAAAATTGTTTTATTTATATGCAATAAATGAATTCGAAAGCATTATTTTTAAATATTATATAAATCACAAAATAATGTGAAGATTTGTATGAAAGCCATTTGTTTTGTTTTTCAATACTAATACTTGACTAAAAATAAAAATATTAATAATCATTAGATTATTAAGCGGTACTTTTTTTATTTGATTAATATGCTGCTAAATCATATGACTGGCCAATTTGGTCAGCAATAACTCGATACTCTTGCTTGGCAGTGTCAAGTTTTTCTAAAATAAATAAACAAACTGTTAGTCACATGCATAGTAATATTAGTTAAGTTATTACAGGCATAAAAAATTTAGTTATTCACATCAGCTTTTGTTAGTATTTGTAAAACAGTAATGTTTAGCCAAAAATTTCGTTTGTCAATGACTCAGCATAGGTTAGGTACTACATGCAGAATGATTCGTCAAGCTTGCTAATCCCCCTTGCACTTTAAGTATCTTTTRATAATGCAATATTGGTTAATTGTAATGGGTTAGAAATTCAGAGCCTACTTGATGGCAGTACCAGCTGTGCACTGAAAGCCCTGCACCACATTTAAAGAGGTCCCACCGCCTGTTGTAAAAATAAATTATCCTRTCCATATAGTTCATGTATTTATCTAATAATTCAGATTAATTCTCTGAAACCTCAAAGGCTCAAAGTAATATCCATCACCCATTGTCCACTACACAGTCCCCCTCAAAGACATTTCACTCGTGGTCACGATGATATTCATCAAATCYTACTTGAATTATACTACTTCCTACCTACTGCTTTTTAAAAAGCTTAATTAATAGGAACAATTCTAGTTTAGTTTTTAAGCGATTTTTTTTTTTTTTACTATTAAAAGCACATACTTAAACACCTTACAATATACATCGACAAATGTAATTCTATAATGGCACCTTAATTTTTTTAATAATAAAATACATATGGATAAAAAAAAAAAATTGAAAAATCGCATGGAAGCTAACCTAGAATGCCTTTAAATTTGTTTGGGCTTATAAATGTATAATATTTTTAAGAATCTAGTTAGTGTCGCCAATATCTGACCGGCAAATTTCGAATCGACCCGAATTATAATTATAATTAAGCGACCGCAATTCCGCATGCCGGGTATGTCCTGACATCTCACGCAGAATCTGAGAATTATCGTAATTTTTAGTCGTAAAAGTTCTGATTGAAACATTGAACTAAGTCCATTATAATATAGTATCTTAGTTGATGATTAGAATTTAAATGTTTTGATATCTTTTTTTATTTTTTCTCATAATAATAGGTAGGTGTTTACAACAAAATTTTATTATCAACCACAGCAGGGCCGGCGTTAGGGGGGCGGCAAAAAGCGGGGCGTTTGTCCGGGGCCTTGTACTTAAAATCATARGCGCAAATCGCAGAGGTGCTAAGGGTGCTTAGCACCCTGAATTTTAATGCTAGCACCCCGAATCYYRTGATTATAAYTTATAGTACTATTACCATCACATTTTCAAAATAATTACATTTATTAAAAATTCAAAAACAG